ATGAGTTTATTCATATCTATCTATCTATCATCTATCTATCTATATATCTATCTAGTTCAGTTTATTCATCTATCTATCTATTCATCTATTCTATCTATCTATTCATCTATCTATGATTTATTCATATCTATCTATCTATCTATCTATCTATCTATCTATTCATCATATATTCAGTGTATATCTAGCTCTGTTCATTTCTATCTCTCAGATTTTATTCATATCTATCTATCTATCTATCTATCTATCTATCTATCTATCTATCTATCTATCTATCTATCTGTGATTCAGTTTGCATCTATCTTTTAAAATCTATCTATCAATCTATGAGTTCATATATATATATATCTATTTTATATATCCATCTATCTATATATATTATTCATAATCTATTCTATTTATCTATCTATTACATCTATCTATCTATCTATCTATCTATCTATCTATCTGTGTTAATTCAATTCATATCTATCTATATATCTATCTATATATATATACTATATATATATATATTATATATGTGTGTTATATGCATATGTGTGTATGTGTGTGTGTAAACAAAATTACTCAACTTGTGTGTGTGTGTGTAATTTGGAAAAATCTCTATTCGTGAAATTCATTTAGTCCAAACAAATTTTGTGACCGTATATGAGAGTCGCCCTGTATATAATATATCGCATATATTCTCACTATAATTATTTGACTGCAATGAACACAATGACCCTTTTTGGACAGAGCAAGCATTCAGTGATTAAATACGATTTTCCCATCATAACTCCCGTTTTGTTATGCTGCATCTTCGCCACCGACAAACCCTGGCCCCTGTGCCTACGTCAAAATCTGTACCCACAGCGGGCACCTCACACCTTCCCGAAACTCACCGACATTACTGCTGCAATGCATTTGATTTGCTAGTTATTTAATAGAATTAGGAAGCACTGAATGAACAACAATAATGAATGGTAGTGTCAGCTAATATTTTACCAGACTACCATCTATAACCAAATAAAAATAATCATTTTGTTACTGTCTGGACTGTTCAATCTTTAATTCCCATATAAAATCAATCAAACAAAACATATCTGGGAAAAAAAGAAAACAAGGAAGCATTAATTTAAAACATAAAAATGTAACACAACACACACACACACACATATATATATATATATATATATATATATATATATATATATATATATGTGTGTGTGTGTATATATATATATATATATATATATTTCGGTTTGATATCGTTTAGGTTTCCATCCTAGCTTGAGCATTTGGATGTCAACATTCACTGAGGAGCAAATCAAACAGAAACAGTACTGTCTCGTTTGAATGATATATATATATATATATATATATATATATATATATATGGATTCAAACCGTAAACAGTCAATTTGAAGTGAAGCATCCGAAGATTCATAGAAAACTACTAGAGTTGTGGGGATAATATGTATATTTAGTTAAATATATATATATATATATATATATATATATATATATATATATAAAAATAGATAGATAGATAGATAGATAGATAGATAGATAAACTCCTTCAGAGTATTAAACGCGTTGATAAAGAAACGATTTACTGCTCCCTTTCCATATATACGCATATACTAGTCATATATATATATATATATATATATATATATATATATATATATATATATATAGATAATCAACAATAATATATATATATATATATATATATATATATATATAGATTATTTAATAATAATATATATATATATATATATATATCTTTATATATATATATAATAAAGTTCATTATTCCTAAATAAACTATATATATATATATATATATAGTAATTATTTTAGTGATAATTATTTCAACATATGAAATTAAGACAGACATGAATGCAAATGTTTACTGAAATTTCAAATTTAAGAGCCAGATACAACATTTTCGCGCGAAAAAAAGAAAGAAAGGAAGACAAGATACGCTCTGTTTTCCAGAGAAAAAGAAGAAGGAAAAAGTATGAAAGAAACGGAAGTAGATAGGAACGAAATGTCTTATGTTTATAATGAAGTTTCAATAAGTAGTCTACTAACCAATTAGTTACTAGCGCCTGATGATGTGCGTTTGTACACATCGAAACATGATTGAATTTGTGTAGTGTTTATTTTCATGTTGATGCAATTATGCCAAAATAAAGAATACCGCCCTGGTTATGTATTGAGCCCTGTTTTAAATTAATGTTTTGAACGTTGAATTTATGTTCGATTTTGCTCATTTCATATGGATATATATATATATATATATATATATATATATATTCATATATATGGCCAGATGGATTGCGTCTAGGTTTTGAAACAAATTGTCGCTTCTGACACACAAATTGACTATGAATATTCACTTTTGTATCTAAATATTTTATATACGCTCTATCTCTGATATTGGCATTTTTATCCCATAAATATCCATATTTAAAATACGTTTCTTGAATATATATATATATATTGTTATCTGACCACTGTGTATTCGAGGATAACGTATACTAGGCCATTCATTAATCCTTATTGCAGACGCTTTTTCAGCTCATTTTGTCTGATTAAAATTGGCATCCATCTATGGTTTACTGCAACTATACTGAACAGAACTTATAGGGCAATTTGAACACACACACACACACACACACACACATCTACACACACATTTATATATATATATATATATATATATATATATATATATATATGTACAAAGCCCAAAGCCTTCTATTTTAATTACACCTGATATATTTTGCACCAACATGAACTTATTCACTTGTTAATGAACTTAATATATTAGAAGAACAGGATGAATTCCTAATTCTAACTTTACAACGAAAATATTAGATGGATATTTCAGATATTGAGATAACTATTTTATATATATATATATATATATATATATATATATATATATACACACACACACATATATATATATATATACACACACACACACACACACACACACACATATATATATATATATATATATATATATATATATATATATATATATATTAGATTGTAGAATTTATTTATAATCCGACATATTTTCATTACTTCAAACGTTATTATAGTGGATACTTCACATTTGAAATCTGCTCATATCTATCTAGCTAACTAGCTGTCTGCTCATGTCTATCTATCTATCTATCTATCTATCTCTAATCTATCTATCTATCTAGCTCTTTGTCTTTCTGTTCATATCTATCCATCTATTCATCAGTCTGTTTCTATTTATCTATCTGTTCATATCTATGTGTTCATATCTATCCATCTATCTATCTATCTATCTATCTGTTCATATTTATGTTTTCATATCTATCTATCTAGCTAGCCAGCTATCTGTTCATATCTATCTATCTATCTATCTATCTATCTATCTATCCTTCTTATCTATCTATCTATCTATCTATCTATCTATTTATTTTTTTATCATTTCACATCTATCTATGAATCCATTTTATCTATCTATCTATCTATTGTATCTTATCTATCTATCTATCTATTATCTATGTTCATATCTATCTATTTTCATATCTGTTATCTATCTATCCTTCATTATCTATCTATATCTATTTATGATATTTATATCTATCTATCATTTATCTATCTATATAGATTTCATCTATCTTTCTTTTTCAGACACATCTATCTCATATCTATCAAATCTATCTATCTATCTATCTATCTATTTATCTATTTATTCTATCTATCTATCTATCTAATAAATTGTTAAATTATCCATCTATTTCTAGATCTCTCTATCTATCTGTAAATATTTATGTTTTCATATCTATTCTATCTATCTAGCTAATTAGGCTATCTGTTCATATCTATGTGTTCATATCTATCTATCTATCTATCTATCTATCTATCTATCTATCTGAACGTGATCAATTGTCTGTACGGATTCTTTTAATTTCTAAATCTATGAATTAGAAACATCTAAAAACAAAGGACCATGAACTGTTTTCATGTTGCCTTTGTTCAGCCAACTAAGTTTAATGAGACCTTAACTTACAATCAATTTCTTGATTTGAACAAGAAGTCTATCGTCCATGTTTTCGCAGAGAAAATATATATAACCATCCAAACCAATAAATAGCATCATTGAAAAAACATTTTCGCTCTACATAAATTCGTCTTAGTTTTTATTTATGTGAATCTGGAAAATTACGCCCTGAAAAATGACATTTTAAATTTTCGAATGAAAGTATCTAAATATGTCTTCCATCTGACAACAATTGAATATAAGGATCTTATTATTTATTGAATTGATCGTAAGTTAATGTCATTAAGTCCGGTTTTGACTATGATTTCGCAAAATTAAACACATTAACATTGTTATTTAATTCTTTTATAAATTGTTTTGTGATATAAAATTATAAGCTTGCAAATTTTAAATATATATATATATATATATATATATATATATATATATTTTGTGTGTGTGTGTGTGTGTGTGTGTGTGAAGAGATCATTCAGCCGTGGTGTCGATTCTAGCGAGAAGCAACCGGGCGTCTAGTAAAAACTGACGAGCTGTGATGGAGGAACGAAACAATCCTTGTCTTTGGATTAAATATATATATATATATATATATATATATATATATATATATATATCGATAGATATATATATATATATATATGAAGAAATATAGTTTTAGTTCAAAATATTTTATTTATGGGATAAAAAAGTGCTCAATATCAGAATACAAGATTTTGGAAATAAAATTTGAACAACAAGAAATTTTTTAATCGAGGAAAGATGCAATACTGTCAGGCTAAAATCCTGAATGAAATATCTAGCATCTATGAAACAAATTGTCTAATCTCTTAAACGTTTTGACTATATGTTATATTTTATATATATATATATATATATATATATATATGTGTGTGTGTGTGTGTGTGTGATCAAAAAAGAGAGAGAACAGAGAAATTGACAGTAGACTGTTTTGATGATTAAACATTCGATATTTTTTTTAAGCGGAGAATTCTTTTTCTAATTAGTCTAGAATTCATTAGCTCTAAAACAATATAGAAAATTCTTTAAAAAAAAACAAAAAACTATACGATCAAGCATTGATGGTTCACATTGAACATTGAATTGGTAAGGGAACTGAACAGATCTTCCCTCAAATTCGATATATAAATGCCAGTCTCTATTAGAAGACATAAATAATTCACTGGGAAGAAAGAGTTTTGATATTGCATTGTTATCCTAATTGTTTGCTATCAACCTCAGACCGGGTCCATACACAATCAAACTCGGACCGGGTTCATACACAATCAACCTCGGACCGGGTTCATACACAATCAACCTCGGACCGGGTTCATACACAATCAACCTCGGACCGGGTTCAGCTTTGAACCAACCTCGGACCGGATTCAGACAGAAAGTTTGTTCAACCTCGGACCGGGGTTCATTTGGGAAATCAATCAACCTCGGACCGGGTTCAGACACAACCAACCTCGGACCGGGTTCATACACAATATCGTCAATCGTCGGGAAATACAGGAGTAGTAAAAGGCTCTAGATGAACACACACGCGAACACACAAATAGAAAAATACGCTTGCACAAATAAACACACTCAAATTTACAAATACACACACACAACTATAAAAATACACGCACAAATAAACATACGCAAATATACAAATACACACAAAAATACACACATACAAATATATAAATACACACACGGAAATATACAAATATATACTCATAAATACACAAACAGATATAAAAATACACACAAATAAACACACACAAATATAGAAATACACACACCATTATATACTCACAAATATACAAATATACAAATACACACAGACAAATATACAAATACGCACACAAATAAACTCACGCATATATATAAATACACACAAAATATACAAATAAACACACACAAATATACAAATAGACACACAAATAAACGCACACAAATATACAAATACACACAGATATAAACACGTGCAAATATACAAATACACACACGGAAATAGACAAATATATGCGCATAAATACGCACGCAAATATACTAATACACACACAAATACACACACACAAATAAACGCACACAAATATACAAATACAGACGCAAATAAACACACACCAATATACAAATACACACACAAATGAACACACACAAATATACAAATACACACGCACAAATACACACACGCATGTGTAGAAAAGGAATGAATCAAGATTTGAAAGTACTCGGGGAACTATTTCGAGTTCTAACTTTGGTAGGCTATATGATTATAGAAACTATTATTTCAGAAATTGAAAAAAAAACTTTAAAAAAAAACTTAAAAAAAAAACTTAAAAAATTTTTTAAAAAACTTAAAAAACCTCTGATGAACAGAACTCGAATATATCATTCAACCAAACAATTTTTAAAAATTTTTTATATTACTGGAAATACACATGTGGGATTTTTAGTCACATTTATGAATCAAAATTTAACAGCAACCTCAACCAATATTTAAACATTTTTTTCAAATTTAGGAAAATAAATTATATATACTTCTTTCCATTTATATATATATATATATACATATATGTGTTAATTGTGTGTAAATGCTAATTGGGTGGACTGAAAGGGTTATAATTGATGGAAAAGAGAGAAAAGTGAATATATTAAAGTTAAAAGAAATGAAAAAATAAAGTATAATATATATTTTTTAAAAAATCCATAAATAGCCAAAAAAAATTGTTCGGTTTCTTCTTCCTGAATATATATATATATATATATATATATATATATTAATATATATATATATATATATATATATATATATATATATATTAAAAATATATATATATATATATAAATATATATATATATATATAATATATTAATGAAAAATAATCTTAATAATTAACAAGTTTCAGAATAAATTTATGTTTTTTGAATCTATAATATGAAAAAGGTCCACTCTCAGCACCTCCGATTTTTTCAAATTTATTATTCATAAAAAAAATAAATATATTAGAATCAATTAAAAAACAATAATGGATCATATGCAATATAGATGAACAATTCAACTCTAAAAATTGGAAATAAATACAATATATCTAAATACAAATTATAGACAAGTCATGATAGATCGTTACATCGTAATTGAAGCAACAATATTTTGCGGAAATTCGTAGCATCAACTTTCTTGTTAAAAAGTTGAACAATTTTAACACATTCGACATTAAGGATAAAAATGTATGCATTTATATACTTTTTTTCATTAAAACAAACAAAAAATTTGGACAAAAATGTGTTTAAATGACGCCAAATCCGGGTTTAATTTTTCCTCTTTTATAGTTGTGTTTAGTTTAATTTGTAAAATATATAAATGTAGATAGTCTAAAATAAGTAAGATACGAGGGTCAATCTTCCAATTTATTATAAGCAGGGCCTTTTTAAGCATTCAATTTTCCCACCTAAAAAAATTTGGAATACGTAGCCGGCCTTTGAACACTGAATTCATTAGAATAAAAATATTAAAATGAAAATTCAAACCTTAGAACGAAAATATATTGATATATGTTCAATTTATATATAATATTGTGTCAAAAATATCTATATCTCTCTGTCTGTCTATCTGTATCTCTATCTCTATATATATATATATATATATATATATATATATATATATATATAAAATAACAAAAGATAATGAAGAAAATCTCATTTTTATTGTAAATTACTAAAATTATATATAACCTATATAAATTATTATTATAAATATATATAAAATAAAATTAATAAAATTAAAAATGTGTTTTTGAAAATTTATAAAAAAAACATGTTTCAGATAAAAAATTAATTTAAAAATAAATATTAAATTTTAAGGATATTCAAATAATTGCTTTGAAAAAGAAACAGAACTAAATTTTTTATCTTCAGTTTTTGAAACATGGTTATAAAGTGTCAAAAAACCATATTTTAAATAAGTTAATTTATAATATTTATGCTCTGTAAATTTTACATTGAGCACTGTTTTGTAAAAAATAAAAAAAAAAAATAAGAACAACGGATTACATATCTTACTGTTCTTTTTTATATATATATATATATATATATATATATATATATATATATATATATATATATATATATATATATATATATGTATGTATGTGTGTTTATATATATATATATATATATATATAATTTGGAGAAAAAAGCCAGTTCATCATAAAATCTAACGAATGACCTCCATCTTCGATATAAATTCAATCTTTAAAATAAGGGACTATTAAATAAATGTTTTTATTTTCCCGGTCCGAACATTTTCGTTCAGGGAAAAGTTTTGTAAAAATTAAATCAAACCCTTGTAATATTTAAAAAAAAAACATTAAAAAAAATAAAATTTTTTAACTGCCATTTAAATTATTTTCATTTTTCAAAACTAAACAAAAACAACATTAATGCAGAGAATATCAAAAAATTAAATAATTTTTAGATAACCTGTTTTGTTCATATATTTATATATAAATGTTGACAAATTTTTAAACTTATAAACAAAAATCTTATTCTTTTCTTGAATAAAGTAAATATGCTACTATATATAAATATATTTATATATATATATAATTTCATATATATATATAAAATATAATTTTGTTTTCTATGTGATTCTAAAAATGTGTAGGAGGGATCTTTCGACATATTGCTATCCTTATATACTTAGGAGAAATAAAGGAATCTGTCAAAATAATTCTTGTCGGTAATGATGTCTATAACTTTTATATATTTATTAATTTATAAAAACATTGGATCGACAGACGTTAGTAATTATTTTACAGAAAGATGTTCATTATTACTTTAAAAAAAAAATTGTGACCTTGAATTTGAAACACAATGTTTTACATAAACTACAGGTATAGTAAATTTACTCACAAATATTTTTTTGATGTTATGAAAATGATATATATATATATATATATATATATATATATATATATATATTTTATATATTTATATATAATTAAAACATAAAATTTTTCATTCTTTTAAAAATTCATCTCTTGAAAAAGATTTTAAAAATAAATGATCGTTCTATTTATTTTTTGAAATATTGTTCAAACAAAAAAAAACAAACACACGTTCAAACAATCATGAATCGACATATCAGACATATTTATATATATCGTTTATATATATATATATAAATAATATATATATTTAAATTTATATCATTTCTTTACACAGAGAGTCAGAGAGAAGAAAATACATAGATACATCAAACAGAAAAGTTTGTCAACTAAAATTAAAAATAAATATTGTACAGAAAATAAACAATAGAAAACGAGATAGATAGATAGATAGATATACGTGATATATAGATAGATAATAGATCTATAAAATCAGAATAATAGATAGATCTTCTAGAAAAGGCAAGTGACAAATGACACGTTATATTTATTTTAGAAAAAAAATAGATAGATAGATTTCCTCAATTTTTTCCCTAAAATTGAAAAAATATATTTGAAATAAAAAAAGAAAAAAATGATAACGATAATTTATAGAATTTTTTAAATTTAGAAACAAACAAAGATCATTAAAGAAAGAAAGACTGAAAGAATCAATCAGAAAGAAAGAAAAAAGATAAAAAGAAATAAAAAAAAAAAGACTAAGAAACAACAATTTAACTAATTGATTTAAGCATTGGCCACAAAACGTTTAAAATTTTCTTATCGTAAATACTAAATAAAACGTCGAACCTGGTCAGTAATCAACAACCAGGTGGTATAAAAAAATCATGTATTTTTAAATGGGGAAAAAAAAATCCTATAATTTCAGTTTTGTTAAAATCAAACTGGTAAATTCCTGCAGTAATTTATGATTGAAACGCTCATATCACCTATCAAATATCAATGTTAGGAATGTTTGCATTAAAATTATTTAATGACTTCAATGACCACCATGAATCTTAATATTTTCAGACCATATTTTTCAAATTTTCTCACCATTTCTTTAAAATTTTAATAAAAAGACTTTTTATATTTATGGACAATATATATTAGTATCAATTTAAATTCTTGAAACTTCTATCATATCCAATAGTGTTATCAAAATTATATTGGAAATTCACTCTTTCTAAAATCTTCAAGGATAGTTGACTCCATTGTTTTGTTCATTTTTCTTAAAAAAATAAATTTTTTCTGAAAAAAATGACCTAGGTATTTCTGCTTTTCATTTTTAAATATTTCCTTTCCCAAAATATTTTTTTTGAACAAAGATATGTCCAACAATAACTTCCTTCCTTTTTTTTTACTATACCAACATAAGATAATTTTTAAACAATTTTTTTAAAAAAAAAATGAATCATAATCATATTATTTAAACAAAATAATTGCATTAATTTAATAACATAATTTATTGTAAACAGTTATATTTAAAAAAATTTTTAGTTTTAAAAATTCACTATTTATTTTTTCAATAATTTCAAATAAATTTTTTAAATATATTTTAATATTTTTTAATTTTTTTTCCAATATGTAAATCCAAGCTTTTCAATTAGATTTTGACTTCAACAATTCGTGTGAAATTCCAGATGTGAAAAAACAATAACGAAAACCTTTTGATTAATATTCTCTGTTCTTTTTTATTGTACTTAAATTAATACATACATCATATATATTTATATATATATATATATATATTATCATTATATATAGATAGATAAGATAGATATAAGATAGCAAGAGATATTACTTTGATATTCATTGATATAAATATATATGCTATTTAGATAGATTGGAAAAAGACAGATCTCTTGATATAGATATGTATATTTATATATCTTAGATAGATATCAATATTTATATTTAAATTGTTGGCAAGATAGATATTTATATTTATGGGAATATATATTGTATATATATATAAACGGTGGTTCTGTGTTATCAATTTAGAGGAAAAATATAAACGTATAAATGGAAAACAAGCAAAAATGGATGCAAAATATCACAATAAATTTTCTGTACGAAGAAAATACCCATATATACATACGTAGATAGATAGAAATAGATAGATAGATACCTGCCATTAATACAGATGAATTGATGGTTATGATGAATATTTCATAACTGAATAGATAAATGTCTTTTACAAATAGATACCCCAATAAATAGATAGAGAAATGAATGAATGCATACTTAGATAGAAAATGAAAACGTGAAATTCAAAATTATATATATATATCTATATGTATATATATATATCAATCGTCAAGATACATAGAAAATAAATTAAATCCTTTTCTCATGGATTATCAGTTACTCTTTATTTAAAAAAGTTTCTTTAATAACATTCCTATATTACATTATTTTGGTTGTGTGTCTGTGTTAAAATTTATGTATATTCATTCCATAACCATATGAATAAAGATATTACATTCATCTTATAACAAACATTATATATTTTATTCAGATGTAATTTTATAAATGAAAATTTTAAATGTCTAAAACGGATTAATTTCTTAAATATTTTTAAAAAATGTAATTTCTAGAATGTATTAAATATATATATTTGGACATAGACAAAATGGTTGGATATGGAAAAATGAATGAAAAAAAATGTTAAACAACTTCATCATTTAGAATTTTTAAAAAGATTATGTAACGTTACAATTAAATTGATGCTATATTCTAATTTTGTTTTCTAAAAAATTATTCAAGACATCGTTAACCATTTAAATGGAACATTTCAATAAAATTTTTTCTTATTTGAATTTTCTAAATTATAACTATGTAAATATATCTTGTAACAGCTTCTGGTTTTCTTTTAATGGGAGAAAGAACCACAGATTAAAATTTCAAATTTTATAAATAGATTGAAAAAATTTCAATGATTTCTTGGAACACGGAAATATAAAAATTTCCTTCTTTCTCTTTTCTGTAAATAGAAATATCTTGATATATTTGACTGTTTAAACTGAATGAAGACATATTTATAAACAATAGATACCATATAGATAGATGATATATATATAGAAAAAATGAGCAGAAACATGTCAAATCTCTATATGAACAGTTTGCCAATTTATAAATATATATGTGTATATATATATATATATATATATATATATAAATATAAATGGATCCAGACCAGAAACAAATTATAGATGAATGGAAAACAAAAACATATTTACTTGATTGTTGATGAATGAATGAATGATAAAAGGTTACAAAGGGGTTACTAAAATAGATATAGATAGATATTTAGATAGATAGATGAATAGATAGATAGATCTTTTATAGATAGATAGATAATAGATAGATAGATGAATAGATAGATAGATAATAGATAGATGATTAGATAGTTCGATAGATATGTCATTATATGATATATATAGAATATTCATAGATATCTAGATATTGAAGATAGGGTTTTTGAAAAGGAATACATTGTAGAAAGACATAAATAATGAACGAACTGTTTAGATACAATTAAAAATAAATAGATAAGATAGATAGATAGATAAATAGATATGATGTGAGAGATAAATGGATGTGAATAAAATCTTTGATAGATAGATCTTCCCATTGGAATGTCAAATAAATGGATTTGAATAAAAAAAGATATGATAATAGATAGATATCTTAGATAGATAGAAATGAACAGCAAATAAAATCTATTTTGAATAAATTCTAATGAAGATATTACATTGAATATTTAGATAGATCAGATAGATCGATAGAATAAGAAAAAAAAAGTCCTTGTGCTGTTTACATTAAAATTATATCAATTATATATTTTTTTCCACAAAGTTGATATAAGCATTTTTTATGAATTTCTCTGATATGTAATTATTAAACAATAAATATTTCTCAATTTTCCTTTCCCCTTATTCATTTTATCCTATAATATTTTGTTCAAGTTGTTTCTGTTTTAGCTCATTTATTTCTTTTATTATCCTCCACCGATATAGGAATTAATTAAAAGTTTTTCCATTTATCTTGGGAAAAATTAAATTCCTGATTAATTAAAATGTAAAACACTTCATAATGCTTCTCAAAAATCCATTTTAATTTAAATTTTCCGTTCTAAGACTGGAACCAATTCTAAACTAATTTTAACAAAGGTGTTAAATATTATTTCATTCGGAAACACAATTCTATGGTGGATTTGCGTTTTTTAGAATATCATCAACAAAATTTACAGGAATAAGATGTGTTGATTTAAATATGTATAATTTCTATCGTATTGTCAATTTTGTTTAATTATCTAGTTTTGAAAAAATTAATTCTTTCTTTATAGATATTTATCAGATTTTTTTCCTTTCTGTTTCATATATTTTATATATTAAATAATTTTCTTTTTTACAATTCTGTTTTAATTCCGTCTTTGTATGTCAAAAAAGTTAAAGACTTTTCATTTTTAAATAGTGTTTTTTTATTTTATCTCTTCGTTTTTTTTTCAAATAATCTTTATCCCTATTCTATATATTATTATTTTATTATTTTATTATTATTTAAAAATTTTCATATTCATTCATAATTATGTTATTATCCATTTTCTTTCACATCTTATTAAAATTTCTTTTTTCGTTCTTCTTCTTTCTAATAATTTATTGAGAATCTTTATTTTTATTTTTTTCTAAATTATGAAATTCAAATTTTTCTTTTCAATTAAATGTAATGTTGTATCTTTCTATATGTTACAATTTTTTTATGGAAATTTTATACAGTACACACACATCATATAATATATTATATTATATATATATATATATGTATATAAAAAATATTAAACTTTTTAATACCATAGAATGAGCCACATATTCTGGAGAACAAATATATACTCCAATAAATATAACTTTATTAATTAATGATAGATCTCTATAATTATAATAATTGGTTTTAAATATAAATAAACATCAGAAATATTAAAATATCATAAATTTACACACACACACACACACACAAAACACTATTAAGGTTATAAATTAATTTCTTTTATTAGTAAAAAGACTAAATGAAAATGTCCATTAATATTATGAATGTAATATATAACTTAAAACAAAATATTTGAAAAACAAATAAAATTCATATTTTTTTATTTTTATATATTTTGCAATTAATCAATTGATTTCAATGCAAAACTATGAATTCAGAACCCTATTTTGATACAATTCTCTAAATGATTTTGAATAAAAATTTGCAATTTAAGGGGACATCATAAATAAAATCCTCTATTGGGGGGAGAAATAATTTGAAAGGATACAAATTTTTTTTAGTATATATATACTGATCATTTTATCAAGTTTTTATATATCTATTTAGGGATGTATTTTATTTCTATAATTTAGAGCGAGAAAATAGAAAATATATTTTTTATTAATCCAACACTTTTACAATTCATTTAAATGTATATGGAAAACAATGATTATATTAAGTCAAATTAAAATTGTGTCCTTAAAAAAATGTATAAGATTAAATATAAATATATATATATATATATATATATATATATATATATATATATATATATATATATATAAATATATATAATATAAATATATATATAAAATAATCTAAAAAATGTTATAAAGTTTAATGTACCTAGTTTTAAGTATAGCTAAAATAACTAATGTGATTTCAGGCATTACTGTAAATCAAAAACAAATGTTTTCCGTGAACTGCAAAATCGTATTATTTTGTATTGCTAATGATGGAGGACATTGGAAATCTTAAATAAAATTTCAATAAAACCTTAAAAAAATATAGATTTACTTTTTCTAATCCTTTTTACAAATTATTTATATATCGCAAATACAAAAAAAAGTTACAATTTTTTTAAAGTGCATTTTGAACTTTATGGAAACCCAAATAGAATATATATATATATTTATATATATATATATATATATATATATATATGCAAATATTTTCATTAAAGGAATTTCATATAAAAACTGGGAATAATTTATATAAAATTATTAAAAAGAAAAACCCTGACAAAAAAAAATTAAATCATAAAAATAAATTCAATAAAGATGAAGAGACTAATTTGTCAATCTTCCATATATATAATTAAATATATATATATATATATATATAATTATTTTGAACAGAAATAATACATTTAAAAAAAAACATATATATATAATTTATATATATATATATATATATTATAAATGCTATAACAAAAGGTGAAACATAATGATGTTAAAATAAGCAAAAAAATTTTAAAATAAATTTTTAAAATAAAGATAAATAATATTTGCAAATATAATTTAATTGCATAAAATATAAAAAAATATATCATTAAAATAGCATTTTTTTTAAATCTAAAATTTTACAAATTAAAATATTTTTAGAAATGATATAAAAGTTGATATAAATAAGATTTTATTAGATTATTAAAATATGTTTTAAATATAATGTAAAAATTTGAAATTTTGAATTTCTGCATTATAAAACACATATATATATATATATATATATATATATATATATATATATATATATATTTAATTTTAATTTATGGTAATACAAAAATTTTCTAAAATGATAAATACATTAAATATATTTAATTTCGGCAAAATTATATAAAAAGTCCTGGTAATACCAAAAATTTTTTTTTGCAAAAATAAATTTATAAAAAAATGTTATATTTCAAATTTGATAAAACATTCTAAGTTTTAAGAAACGGGGATCAGCTGTTTAATGAAAATTATATATTTAAAATATATATTTTGAAATAATCATTTAACAAAAAGGAAAATATTTAGAAAAGAATTTTATGTTCAAAATTTTCTGAAAACAAAATAAAGAGATGGTTTGAACATATTTGAAAATTTTTAAGAAAATTTTTAATATTTAATTTATTTATTTTTAAATTTAAAAGATTTAAAATAATGAAAAAATATATAAATAATGAAATATTTTGAATTTTTCAAAATTTTTATATATTATTAATTTAGAAAAAAAATCTAAATAAATAACTTGATTAAATAAATAAAAAAAATTCAAAAAAAAATTCATTTCTTTATATATATTTTATAGAAAAAATTTCAGATACAAAATGAAATAGTTTAAAATTTTATCAAAATTTTTTATTATTTTATAGAAAAACAAAGAATATAAATAAATAAAAAAATATAAAAATTAAATAAATAATATATATTGGAGATTTCAATTCATTTTATTTTCCCCAAATTTGCATTTTTAAATTTCGATATATATTTATTCAAAATAATATGAAATTAAATAAAAAATAAATATAAAATTTTTAATTATAAAATTCATTAATATAAAATTCATATATATTTATAATTTGTTATATAAAATATTTGAAATATACATTTATATATATATTTAAATATATATATTATAATATATGCCATTTATATATTTAATATGTTATATATATTTTTTATAATTTCAATTTTTAAAAATCTAAGGAAGTTTTGAATTATTATTTATATAATTTTATGAATCTTGAATTATAAAAATTTGTTTTTATTCATAAATTTTAATTTCAGTTGAATTATTTTGTTTTTTCTGTCTAAAAATATTTTCTATATCTTTGAATATTATAAATTATTCTTAGAATGATAGATATATATATAGATATATATATATATATATATATATAACACAATATATATCATAAAATTAAATAGAAGAAATTTATAAAACAGAAAAAAAATCCCATCTTACTTTTTTGAAAAATACAATGTCCTCTTAACTATTTTTAAAATATATCATTATTGAAGAAATAAACTTAATTGAATTTTGATTGATTTAATGAAAATTATATGAAAAAATAAAGAATTTTCTCATAATTTAATTTTAAAAATTCTTAATTTATTAGATTATATTCATATATATATATATAAATTTTATATATATATATATATATATATATAATTTACATTGAATAAAAAAAAATTAATGATATTTAATTTTTTTTGGAAAAAATTTTCAATTTATATATATTATGATTACATTAACTGATGAAAAATAGAATAAATTCATTTGCAGTTTTGAATTTATATTTATCAGTCGAATAAAATAGATAAATATTTATATATATAATTTTTATATATATCTTTTTATATATATTATATGATTGATAAATATATTATTATGTTAAAATTTATAAATATCAATTTTTAATCCGACGTTTTTTTTATTGTAAATACAATTAATTTTTGGTTTAGCAATATTAAAAAAATCCAATAACTCCTTAAAATGGATAACTTATGAACTTAAATGATTTTAAATGAATAAAAAATTTTTTGAATCATGGCTCATCCTTTTTGAAATGGTTATTCAATAAACAGGATAAAATTTTTTATACAAATTTTAATACAATTTTATTTTCTTTATTTTCTTTGATTTTAAATTACCATAAAATTTATTTATATATATAATATAATTTTTTAAATAACGATTATATACCAGATATAAAATAATTGATGGAATTGAATGTTAAACAAACACACACACACACACACACACATACATATATATATATATATATATATATATATTAAAAATCATTATATAGATTGAAATTTTTAATCCATCAAATTA